TTTTCTTAAAATTGTATGTAATCAAAATACTGAGTTAAACAGTCTGAAAGAGTCATTTGAGAACAACAACAAACAACAACAGCAACAACATTTTATCAGCATGGCAAGGAAACGACAGTTCCACTTCAATTAAAGGATAATTGTTAATTCTCCCCCACTTCCCATTAGTGAGGAATGGGGCACATAATGACAGAGTGAAAGTGAGGCATTGAGGGAGAAAGCAAAAGATCATAAAGGAAAGCAGGAATAAATTGATTTCTAAACCAAATCCAGACTGCTAAGAACATTGGTTTTCTCAGGGCTATCATTACATATACTACGCAAAGTCACCTTCAGAGGTTGTAGGCCTCCAGAAAATTGCTTTGTGTGTTCCGTTGCCTACTGAAATTCCCAAGTATTTTGAATGAGTGATATCAGATTAAAATAAAGATCGAGCTCGGAGTTGAATAGAAATTATCTCTTACAATGGCAGCCTAAATAGAAGATGTGAGCTATAAAAGAAGGAGTACTGCTCCTTGTGTTTTTAATGGGAATGAGGTAGAGGCTGTATAGTCATGAGATGAGGACTTTTTTTCTTTTTTTTTAGATTTTAAGTTCAGGGTTAAAAGTGCAGGTTTGTTACAGAGATAAACTTGTGTCATGGGGGTTTGTTGTACAGATTATTTCACCACCCAGGTACCAAGTCAAGTACCCATTAGTTGCTTTTCCTGATCCTCTCCCTCCTCCAACCCTCTACCCTCGGAAAGGCCCAGGGTGTGTTGTTTCCCTGTATATGAGGACACTTTTAAGCATGAGCCAGCAGAGCCATTTCCCTTCCTCATCCTCATTTGTCTGCTGCCTATCAGAATTTTGCTTGAGAAAATTTATATACCCTTAAAACACTGGAGCCAAATGTATTTTTTTTTTTGTCTTTTTTGGGGGGCCATATTCAAGGAAGTAATCATGAATGGGGAAAGAGAAAGGCTATGCCCTGAGTGTTAAAGTATTTCAGAATCTCTAGAGGAGCCATCTGGTTTATGAAGGCACATTAAATGCTATAATATACTGTAATATATGAGGGAAACAAACTTCTTGTACTATAAGTCTCATGAAAAAATAAACAAAATCATTTTAGCTGTTAATCTTGGAACTATATTTAGTATACAAGTGATTCACAAATAGCAGAGTTACTCTCCCATTCGAAGGGGATATCAGAATCTCTGGAAGACATACTCACTTTTAGGATTAAGTAGAGGGAGCTTGAAATTTTGCAAGGATTTTAGGGACAATTCTATAAGTGACATAAATAGAAAAAACGTCCAAAATTGGTAAAATAATAAATTATCCCATGGTGTTGCCATTTTAACTTTGATATCTGTATTAAAATGAAACTTCGGAACTCCAAACATGTGTCAATATTTTATAGCATGAAACCCCAAGGAAGTCTGACTAATAGATGTTTTAAGCAGGGAAAAGGTGAAGACTACAAAGTATTTATTTGCTTGGTTTGTTTGTTTTTTGAAGATCAGTATACTGCATTGAGCACACTCTACACGGGGAAATACTTCCATGAAATTCTGCTATGAAACCCGGTTGCATTTAATAAAAGGTTTATTTCCCATATTGCAGCTCATGACCTTCCCAACAAAATATTCCAATATGAACCAACTGCCTTGATAACAGAACACAAACCTCCTAGGACTATAGCAGGACTTTGTGAGAAAGAAAACCATTACCTCTCTCTGAATCCAAGCAAAACCTGAATGTACTGTATAAAAATAAACCAAGGTCATCATTATTCCTTGTCATTGTGATTTGGCGTGCCTTCAAATTACATACCCTGTATATTTCAAATAACTGCACCGCCTCCATTAACTGAGTTTGACATCACTTTAATCAATGTATCTTTTCAGAATGAAAGGCAGAAATGTCAAATTCCTACCATTATAAATTCTTTTAACTCTCTAATCTGCATTAAATAAAAGGTTGTCTTTGAGAAATAATAAATGCTCTAAAGAAATATAACTAGCATCAATTTTATTTTAAAATGTAACTGGGAAAAGATTAAATCTCAACACTTCTCTTCATACAGAGGTGATTTCCCAAGAAACTATTAAAGACTTACTTACATGAGGGGCCTCTCCCAAGGCTGTATCTAATTTTCTATTATTTTTCTTAAAATAGCACCCCCAATTGTATGACCTCAGGCCCCACAAATCCTTTCTTCCTGGTTTGTTCTGTGTTGTGAGACAGGGAACGTACACTAGTCTCATTTGTCAATTCCTTAAAAACTGATGTGTGTTTAAAATAGAAAATTTAGAAAAATGAACAGAAAATTATCTTTAAAGGTTAATTTCTAATTAGACCCTCTTAGGAAACTTAATACCCTGTGATTTGAATGCATATCAATGTGCATATATATAAACATATATATACACATACCAAAATATTGTATTTCTCATATGTGTGATGAAATAAAGAATAAATTGATGAAAGAGTATGATAAATCATTTTTAATAAGTTAGGAAAATATTACAATAGAAAGTGGAAGGAGAAGGAAAGTTTGGGAAATCAGTTTGTTTTACTCTTGAGATAAAATTTTGATGAAAGATAATAAAATAGAATTTTGAAAAACACCTGATGTTTCCAAGGCAATGATTTTAATCTCTTTTATTAAACTACACAAGTGGTTAAAAACTTGACAATTTGTTTCATATATAGCAAATGACGTGGAGTACAGGGATTTCAAATGAATGCTATAGGAATAAAGAGGAAGCTGTATTAATATCTCTGCCCAAAGGATGAATTTGCAATTCAGTACTGTCTAGCTAGAAGTGTCAACCAACACCTATTTCCCCTTAAATAATGTAATTATGCATAAAACACTTTGTAGTCTTTTTTAAAGTTTAGAATAACATCTATATGACATACTCTGTTGTATTTTTCATAATGTTATGCCGTGTAAGATACACCAAAACTTTGTATTAACAGTATATCATCAATTTAGATCAGCGATCTCTTTTTCATAGTTAAGATGTCTTTAAAAGATTCTGCAAATGAAATTCTAAAAGATGATTTTATTAGACCTCAAGATGACTTACATCATTTAAATATATTCAAATGAAATATCTATTTGCCATACACTATTTGAATAATTCTTTACAATGCATTATTTGAGTAATTCTAAAAGTAAACAATACAATGTGTTTGACAATACAGTGATCTCTTTTACACAGTAACTATTCTGTTTAAAAAACAAAATGTACTTTTGTAAGTTTTTCAAACTAAGGCGAATTTACAAACCAGATTCAAATGTCAGACATCCAAATAGTAGTATATTGTCAAGCAACAAAATTTAATGTATAATATAGCCCTGAATATATCTCCATTTTCCTTAACAAACTCATTGTCATGTTGCATAGGCATTACTTGATGATTTTTTAAATGCAGTGTGAAAAAATCCTACAGGACATGTCCCAAAAAGATTACCTTCCTTCACATTCGAAGAACTGAAAGTTTTTCAACTATCTACGACAAAGCAGAGTATAGGTTTACCTTGCTTCATTCCAGCAGAATTGCATATATTCTTTCAAAATTGCTCTATATACTGGTATATGTGGTTAATTATATAGAATATATATATATAAAAAAAATCACTAGTGATTTTGATAGTATTTATATTACATATATCAAAGAAATAAAAATGATAAATAAAAATATGTGTATATGTGTATATTGCAAACAACAGATACATGCCATGCATATTTTTGTAATGATAGTAAGTGTAATAGTTTTTCAATCTAAAAGCAATAATGATACTCACCAAAAGAAATTTATGAAGCAAGCAAACAATGGAACTAAATGTTGTATTATAAAATCTGGTAGCTTTTAATGTGACTCAATACATGGACAATGTTAACTTATTTCCACAAATTTTTCACAGTGGTAAAACTTCTGCCTTTTTTTTTTTTTTTTTTTTTTTAGTAGTTGTGGAGCACTACTTATTTGGAGAGACTTATTTTTTCATTCTTAATTATAGGCATCGCTCTCATATCTATTTTAGAATAACTATACTCCACAAGTCAAAGATGGGTGGGGAAGAGAGAAACTCCCATCTTTTTGGGACACACAGTCCTTATCATATATTATTTTTACTGTTGTGCCACAGTCCATTTTTAAATCCTTCAATAGTCATCATGACTTTCTTAAAAATAAACAAAATAGTTGCATTTCTATATGGAAGACAAACTAAAAAATTGAACTGAAAAGCTAGCTCATGATAGACTTGAAACATCTACTAAATATAATTTACTACTAAACATAATTAGGAGTTCCTCAAGTTTGTATGTTGTTTTCCCAAGAGATCATCTGATCATTTGATAGCATAGATCACATCATTATTTGAAATAATCATCATGGTATGCTATAGAAAAGAGCATTTGAAATAGTAAATGTGAGAAAACAACATTACAATTAAATCTTTATCAATACTTTTCACATCCTTCAATTTTCCATCCCAACTCATTTTATTCTTTATTTTCTCCATATGTCAGAGAAACTTCTCCTAACTTTTAGGCCTCCATGTAGTTCCTATACAGTAGTTAGTTCAATTGAGAATATATGTCAGGTCAGTAACCTTTATGTAACTGTTTCTAAATACAGAAGTATCAACTAGTCAAAATAATAACTGAGATATACAAACTATCTCACAGCAATCAAAATAATCTGTTATAATCAAATGACATTCTGCATATTCTATTACTGCAGTGGTTTATTAATCAAGAAATCATGTGTTTAATTCTTCTGCAAAGAAAAACTTATAAACTCAATTTCTATTGAAAAGTTTTCCCAATGAAAAATATATATTCCTGAATAAATACATATATATGCAGTATATATAACATTTATGCTTCTTTGCAAACTACTGTGATAATTTAAAATCAATCTACCTAATTAGTGAGCTTGTCACAAACTAAACATTATGCCACAGTAAAATACATTTTTAGTTACTTTGTACTTACAACAGTCCTCTACTTCTTCCCACCAAAGCATTTTGAAAAGTGTGTATCAAGGCAGCGATTAAAAAAACCTGGTAAAGGTTCTTCAAACTTTATTGCTCCAGTAGGCTTTAAAACAATGAGAAACCAACAAACTTCAGCAGCTTTAAAAAAATAACACTTCAGTTTTTCCTATTCATTTTTCTCTGAAGGTAATTGCCTCTAAGATCTGAGTCCCGTAGGGGGAAAGTGAGTGATCCCAACACTGAGTGAGTCAACACAGTAACTGATGCCAGGATTCTGTAGAGGCCCCTGGATATTTCAAATTCCAGGACCTGCGCACAAGCAAGTGACCCGCCTTCTCTCTCAAGTTGGTTTCCCATAATAGGACTGTCCATGGTCACTACATATAAGGTTGTGCTTCCAGCATGGCAAGCTCTGTGAATTCAAATAATGCTCAACTGTGTTCTGATTAATATCCAAAACAGAATAGCACAGTGGACATAGTACTAGCTTTTAAAGCCTTCCAAACACAAAAACTATTCAGTACAAAACCATAACAATATTTTCTGTAACTTTCATGTGAATTTATAACAGAGCAGAAAATCCCGATTTAAAATTGACTTTTAAATGCCTTTTTTATCCTCTCAACAACACCAAAAATTTCACTCTACCAAATAAAAAGAAATGCCCAGAATAATCTATGCATTTGTTATGTATCCACTGCCTACCAAAGTTATTTTTTCCCCTTGAGATTTTTGATTGCAAAAGTCATGTATTGATGATGCCAACAGTCTGAATAAGAGAAGCAGCAGCAGAACACAGCAGCTGAATTCTGAAGGCAGAATGTGTGTGTGTAGGTCTCGTGGGACATGTTTTCCTGCTAAAATAAAGAATATTCTTATAATGGAGCAAAGACATTTTTCTCAAATCCTAAATTTCAGTTGTGAATTATGATAAAACTTCTTTACTAACAAATTATTCTTTCTTCCATTTCTCTGGTGCCAATTCTTAAAACACCATTTTCTTAGACATTGAGTTAATGATCATTTAATGGTTCTGAATACAGGCTCTTTTTTTTCTGTATTAAGTGAATGCAGTTGTATTATGTCATTCAGCATGTAAATCATTCTTTGCCAATAGAAGTCTTCTTCATCTTGTTCCTTATTACTTTTATGCAACAGGTGAGCCCCAAATTGATAGAAAACATTGGTAGCATTTTTTAAAGAAAGATATTCTTTTTATAGTTATAATAATCCCTACTAAAATTTTTGTTTGAGTGTTTTTATTGTACCATTTGTTAAAGTGACAGACTCATTTTTCTATGTCAAACATTCAACTGCTTGTGACTGAAATGAGTAATAGACAAAAATAAAAAAAAATTATAGAGTCAGACTGTGATGTTTACCTTAATAGTTAATTATACATTTTGCATTTTAGAATATTATTGTCATAACATGGCTATTTTCCCCAGCAAAATGTGTATGAGATAAAACATAAGGCTTAATTTTAATTGAAAACATTCTTTTCCCTAGGTCACCTCCTTTCCTCTGTGTGGTTGTCTAAATATGCATATAAGCAAAATTTTCATAAAACAACATGAAAAAAATGAAAACAATTGTTGTGGGGCTGATTTGGCTCTAAGTCTACATGTTAGCATCAGTGTCCCTCTATGCTATGAGGTACAATACTGCCCAGAGTATAAGTCCCCTTTATATCTTGTACTGTGAGTTTTCTACAAACATAAACCCTTGTTTAGGCCAAGGCATGAATACAATTTGCCAGTCCCAAGCCAACATCAATATCACATGGGAACTTTCGAGAAATGCAAGTTGACACGAGACCTCAAAAGTCAGAAATTCTGGGGTTAGGACACATAACTCTGTGTTTTACCGGTGATTCTAATGCATGGTCAACTTTGAGAAACCCTAAAGTGTATGTTTCTAAAAACAACTGTGATTCTAAATGTAACAAAGATATGTCCTGGGTAATATCTAAAGCACCAAATCCTAATAGATCTGAATGCCCTCAGATACATTTAATTGCCATTCAGCCTTAGTTGATAATCAGAATTTATTTGGCACCTGTAATGATTTCTGCATTGTGTGGAATGCATATACTTCCCTTAAGATTTTATAATCCAGGTGGAAATATATGCTACAATAACTGGAAAAGCGAAAGGCATGTAAAATAAAATTTAGACCAAACATAATGAATTCCAGTTCAGATTGTGTCACCACAGTACTTTCTTATGTCCCGTAATCACTTATCTTTCTCCTTTAGTCCTCAGAATAACTATATCTCGTAGGTCTTATTAGACCCATAATAAAAGAACTTGCTCAAATTTCCATTTTTAATAACTGTCACGGAATTTTTAAAAATTTATTTTAACTTGTTATTTTCAAATACTCATAGATTCACAGGAATTTGCAGAGATAGTATACAGAGATCCCATGTACCCTTCACCCGGTTTCTTCCAAAGATTAACTACAATAACTACAATTCAATATCAAAACCAGGAAACTGACATTGATATGTACATACATATTTCTATTTCATCACAGATTTGTGTAACCTCAACTTCAACAAATAAACACCTGTTTCATCACCACAGAGATCTGCCTCATGCTACCCCTTTATAGTCACACCAGTCACCCTCCCTAAACGTCCCTAAAGCCTGGCACCAATCAATTTGTTCTCCATCACTATAATTTTGTCATTTTAAGAATATTAGATAAATGCAATGATTCGATATGTAACCTTTTGAGATTGGGTTTTGGCATTATGTACTTGAGATCCATTTAAGTTGTCATTGAGAGCTTATTTCCTTTTATTGCTGAGTAGTAGTTCATGGCATGGATGTTCTATGGTTACTTTAACTATTCACATACTGTGGAATATTTTCATTGTTTCCAGGGTTTGGCCACTACAAAAAAGCTGCAAAACAATCATGTAGTTTTTAATTTTTCATTTCTCTAGATTAATGCCTAAGAGTGTGGTTATAATTTACCATATAAATTTTAGAATAAGGTTATCTACAAATAGATGTACAGATCTATCTATAGAATATCTTTCAGGTAGAATTTTGATAGGAATTGTATTAAAATTATGAATCAATTTTGGAAGAATTGATGTTTTTACCATATTGATTCCTTGAATTCATTAACATAGTATGTATGTCCAATATTTAGGTTATCTTTAATTTATTTCATCATATTCAGCTTTTTTACACAGTGCTTTGTATCGTGATTAGATATATTCATATTTCTAATTTAATGGCACTACTGTCTGTTATGCATGTGATTGCACAAAAAAAGGAAAACAGCAGAGTTTCCAAAACTAGTTCTTTTCCTGTTTTGCTTTTTAAGAAACTTTCATTTTTAAAAAAAATTTTTTTATTATTATTATACTTTAAGTTCTAGGGTACATGTGCATAACGTGCAGGTTTGTTAACATATGTATACTTGTGCCATGTTGGTGTGCTGCACCCATCAACTCGTCAGCACCCATCAACTCGTCATTTACATCAGGTATAACTCCCAATGCAATCCCTCCAGGGGGACATCACACACCGGGGCCTATCATGGGGAGGGAAACTTTCATTTTTTTAAGAGATGGAGTGCCACTGCACTTCAGCCTGGACTAAGAGCAAGATCCTGTCTCAAAGAAAAAAGTGTCTGTTCATAAACTTTGTCCATTTTTAATGATATGTATTTGTTTTTTGTTTGTAGATATAAGTTTCTTATAGATTCTGGAAACTAGGCCTTTGTCAGATGCATATTTTGTAAATATTTTCTCCCATCTTTGTCTATTTACTTTGTTGATAGTTTCTTTTGCTTTGCAGAAGCTCTTTGGCTTAGTCAAGTCCCACTTGTCAATTTTTGTTTTTGTTGCAATGGCTTTTGGGGACTTAGTCATAAATTCTTTGCCAAGACCAATGTAAAAAAGGGTACTTCCTAGGTTTTCTTCTAGGATTTTTTTCACAGTATGAGGTCTTACATTTAAACCTTTAATCCATCGTCAGTTGATTTTTGGATATAATGAAAAGTAGTGGTCCAGTTTCAATCTTCTGCACATGGCCAGTCAGTTTTTCCAGTACCATTTGTTGAATAGGAAGTCCTTTCCCCATTGCTTACTTTTGTTGACTTTGTCAACAAAACAGTTATAAGTGTGTGGCTTTATTTCTGGGTTCTCCATTCTGTTCCATTGGTCTATGGTCTGTTTTTGTACCAGTACCATGCTGTTTTGGTTACTGTAGGCTTATAGTATAGTTTGAAGTCAGGTAGTAGGATGCCTCTTGCTTCACTATTTTAGCTTAAGATTGCTTTGGTTGTATGGGCTCTTTTGGCTCCATACAAATTTGGAATATTTTTTTCTAATGAAAATGAAAAATGAAAAATGACATTGGTAGTTTGATAAGATTAGCATTGAATCTGTAAATTGCTTTGGGCAGTATGGCCATTTTAACAATATTTATTCTTCCAATCCAAGAACATGAAATGTTTTTGCATTTATTTGTGTTGTCTCTGATTTCTTTCAGCAGTGTTTTGTAGTTCTTGTATAGTTCTTTCACCTCCTTGGTTAGCTGCACGGTCATAAAAAAGAATGCAACCATGTCCTTTGCAGCAAGATGAATGCAGCTGGAGGCCATTATCCTAAGCAAATTAACACAGGAACAGAAAACAAAATATTGTGTGTTCTCACTTATAAATGGGAGCAAAACATTGAGTACACAGTGGACATAAGGATGGGAACAATCGATACTGGGGACTACTAGAGGGGGAACGGAGGGAAGGGAGTGTGGGCTGAAAAACTACCTATTGGGTAAAATGCTCACTACCTGGGTGACTGGATCATCAGTACCCTAAACTTCCACATCACACAATATGCCCTTGTAACAAACTCCTGAACATGTACCTCACTTCAAAATGAAAGTTGAAATTACATTTTAAAAATTTTAATAACATTACAATTGTTTAAAGATTAATTAATTAGACATACATTTTTCAAAAATGTAAAGCATAATTTTTATTACATTGAACTCATACACATTTTTTAAATTACTTTTTTTGCCTACACTTAGATGATCCACGTTGTAAAATAAAAACTGGCCCATGATTATATTCCAACATTAACCAGTCATCCTCGTGTTATTAAATAGATGGCGTATTAATTAGAAAGAACTGAATATGGTAAACCTAAAAGTGAATACAGAGTTAATTCTTAAATAATTGGAAACCTAAAGACATTA